TTCCGAACGCAGGTGATGATCCGGATCGGTGGTCCTGAAAAGTTCCGCAACACTCGACCCACTCACTTTTGGCTCCGCTAATTGGCTTCAATCGCTTTTTCGAGGCTGGGAAAATCGTCACCATCGTTAATTAACGGACATGTTAATTATTTTCAGGCCCGGTTGCGATGCATCATTTTAATGAGCTCTGTGCAACTAATTATATTTATTGCAAACATTTGTAAATTAATGTGTGCATCCACGTAATGTGCATCCAGTTTCCATTACGCGCGAACGCCCGTTGCCTTTTCAACCTACCACGCTTTCCATTATATTTCATTACAATTTTTCCTCTGTTTTTCACTACATTTTTTGTTTGTTGTCGGCATGTTTTTTTTTCGTAGCTTTTCAGGAATTTCATTAATTTGTCGAGCGCCAAATTTAAAATGGAATATTTTGTATGAATTTTTCGAGAATTGTTTGTTTGATTCAAATTCCTAAAACTAACTAAATACTTTATAATTAAACTCACAACTAGAATTTTTCTTTTTAGGAAAAACAACTCTATTGTCTATTGTCACATCAATAACACAAATTTCCATTTATTACAAAAAAAAATACAATTGAGAATAATTAAAACAAAATATTCTCAATAGGTCCAATCAAAGAAATTCTTTTCAACTAATTTGATAAATTTACTTTGTTGATTTTATATACATTTTTAAGATTATATGCTTCAATTAAACAGGTTCAATTTTGGCAGCTATAACAAATAATTGGTAATATTCACGTATCCCCAACTTTGATCTACTTTAACAAATGTTATATAACAAAATAATTTCATCTAATTCAAACAAAAGTATGTGAATAAAATTAATAAAATAAAGTAATTATTTTTTAAACAAAAAAAAAACAGATTTCCATTAAAACTCGTAAAGAAACTTAATTAATTAGAAAACGTGAAGTTCACATAAAAAAAAATCCCATTGCGGCATCAGAACAAACCATGGTTAAAAAGTATAACAACTGTCCGAGACAGGGCTGATTCTTTTGACAAAGGGTAAAACAAGGCATTAGAGACATGCTACTATATTTCAAATTTTGGTCTTTCGAGGTAATTCCCCGTCGAGAGAAGAACGGATGTTGGACTATGTGTGCCACAGTGTATAATTAATTAGTCGAAGAATGACTTACACGGATTGCACGTCTGGAAATAATTAACTTTATCATTCATTAACAGCGCTGCACAACAAATTAAGTTAATCCAACGGCGCGTCATCCTGCGTCAAAATTCTTGAGCTCCATCTGTCGCTCCTATTCTCAACATCATAACAAAAAAATAACAAATCTTTAGTAAAAAATACATCTTCAGCAAAATTTATTTATTTATTTCATGTAATTAGTATATAAACAAAACATTGAAAACATTGTTAATAATGTTTTTAAAAAATAACAGCAACTTCTTTTTACATAGAAAATTTGGGAAATTTATCAAAAAATACGGAAATAAATATTTGTTTTATAATTTTGTACAAATTATTATTATTATTAAATTAAGATATTATAGATTTTATGTTGAAGACAAATAAGGTTTTGTAAATTGGTTTCGAGATAAAAAATTAATTAAATAATGTCTAATTAATTTTATTTTTTTAATAATCTCATTAATTAAGCGATTGATTAATTTGAGCATTTCCGCACGGTATTATTAACTAATAAAATACGAAGTGGAAAAAAAAACTTAAATAAGAGACATTTGCAGTGTGAGTTTTGTAGCGAATGAACGGCCATATTTATATTCAATTAGCAGGTGGTCCGAACTTCTCTGAGAACTTTTCCAATTCACCGACACCAAAACAAAATGGACAACAGACTGATGCTGTTAATCTTTTGCTTTTATTTAACTTTTGACAGAAAACAACGTGCGATTCTCACTTGGAAACTCGATCGACGCGTGTTTCATTTTTATCGTCCTCGTGATTATTTTTGATTTTCCTTCGAACTTTCCTGAAGTCGTCTGAAGAAACAATTTTATGTACGCCCGAATTACGCGATACGCCAATTTTCATTAATCATCGAAAATACTTTTAAAAATCATTAGTACATTCCTATAACCATTTCCTACCCTCTCATAATTAATAAATCTACCAATTTGTATTTAATTGTGTCACTTTAATTACTTCAATTTAGCACAGTTAAGAAATAAGAATTTAGATTCTAAAAACATTTTTGTATCCAATGACAAATTTAGTAAAACATTGTGGCTTCAATGGAAACTTTGGTTTCTACATCAATTCAAAATTTCAATTTCAATTTATTACAAATAAACATTATTCATTCACTTCAAATAATATTTCTAATATATTTTAAAATTGCATAAGAATTGATTTTCTGATGTAATAGTAAATTCGTAATATTAATTAGTAAGCAAGTAAAATTTAACAAATTTATTTCTAATATATTTTTAGGTTTAATAATAAATAAAAGCAAAAAATTCATTTTTTTTTTATTTAAGTTGATTATGAAAAAAATATTCGAAACTGTAGAAAAGTTAATAAACATTTATTTATTATTCACAGATCCACTTCAAAGTGAACTTTCCGTTACCATTTCAAAAGTTTTGCTCTTGTTCGTTGCGGTTGTTGCCCGAATTCTCATAGTTAAACAAAATAATCGTATATAGAAAAGAAAAATATGTTTGGGAAACACCGGTTTCTCGTGAATTCCTGGAGGCAGTTTCGATATCGATGTTTGGTTCTCGTGGACAAATCTACGCGCAAGTTAATTATGGTATTGCGGAAAATCAGCTTACGTAATTCAATACGGGAAAAATGTCGAAAAGACATCACATAAACAAATTAAATATACCAGACGTGCGGAATCTGATCCTACACGAGTTTTCTCTTATTCTCGTCCCCCGCACACCCCTATATTATAATTTTTTTGCGAAGATCTCGGATTGCGCACTCCGAGCCGAATTTTCTCTTAATCAAAATGTTTACGTAATCGCTATTAATTGGAGCAATGAAGGGTGAAATGTTGTGGATAGAAAAATTGTATATTTTTGCTGCGATTACTTGAGCCCGTCGTCGTTGTCGAAGCCAAAGGCTTTGTGTCAATCTTGGCGGTGCCGCAATCCTGGATCATTCTATCTCTCCGCAGTGCGTTCCCAAAGATACGCCGTAAATGCGTTATCTTTATCTACTTGCGGTTAAACTTTTCAAGTACAACAAACCTTCCATTTGTCCGTATTGTTCCAGCTAACTACTTCTACTTCCAACTGTTTGCAGATGAAATATTATCTTACATTTAAGTGCTTTCCGTTGATAATCACTACTCAAATAATATTTACTTTCTTAAAATTTACTAAAAAAAAAATATATTTATTTTTTACAGTTTTTTAAAATAAGGACAAGTTTAAGGTTTTAATATATTGCAGTAAACATTTGCTTTTTATGCAGTATATTTGCTAATGTAAATTAAAAGTCAGCTTATTTATTTTACATCAAAGGTATTTTCATGCAGAAAGAAAAAAATATATTAATTGCACATGAAACTAATTACTGTTTGTAAAGTTTTTACAAGTTTTTTTTTTCACACAATTTCATTAGTGGAAATAAAACGTAACAAAAATATAAGCAATACTTATAATACTTATAATTATAATTATTCATTTATTTTTATAGTAAATAACAACAAAATATTTATAATTATTGATGTATTACCCTTAATGTTATTACAATTATTAATTAAAAAAAAGATATATTAAAAATATTTATAAGAAAATGCTACTATTTCATTCTTGATGGAATTCGTTTTATTATAAAGAACAAATATTATCCTTGAGTAAACTGACAATATGCAAAATATATCTTATTTGCCTATTGGATTTCATTGTGACATATTGAAAACAATAACGTACTGTTTGCAGAATGCGCTGAGAGAAGACAAAGATATGTTTTAGGATATGTATCGAAGCTATGTTGTCTTTCTATCAAGTCGTATGTCTCTAATACTGTTTACTGATATGAGGTCGTTTAATAAGAAGAAGCATGCATTTTGTTCGGAGACTGGAACTGAGGCGCATCAAATCATTTCCTATTTGCATGTCTGTTGCAAGAACACGTCCCAAACATATAAATCGCATACATGTATATGGACGTATGCATGTAATAATATTTCCAGCAAATATTGGTGAACAGCAAAGCAAATAGAAGTTGTAGGTTCTGGCTTTCGTCCCTGGTGGACCGTTTATCCCCGATAGTCGTTCCCATTCGAAAATAAGCAATTTGCGTTAAAATGAATTATGCGCTTGATGTTGGTGGGGTCATCGCGAAATATTTCGATTATGAGATGTGGAATTTGCGCGGAATGCGAGAGCAAGCGCGCTCGAAATTGTTGCGGTTTACCTCAGGTAAACTGTCTTCCCGTAGATACACCTCTCGCTCGATCTATCAGAGGCAGTTATGTCCAGACTAAATGATATTCCCTCTTTTCCAGAATAACTGTAAATAGTTTGAAATGGACTCACCTTTGCTGAATTGGTTGTAGTTCCTGATGACGTTCTCGGCGTTCTTCCGCGCGATGTAGAACCACTCGGAGGTGTTGCTCAGGTACTTGTACTCAACGGCCAGGTCTTTCACGAGGATGGTTCCTTCGGATAAACGGTAGGCGTAGGGGCAGAAGAGCCAGTAGTCCTTGTACTGGTACTGGTCGTAGCAGTTTCCGGCGGCGAAGATGTCGTTGTCGAACTCGACCATCGAGAAGACGGACGCGTGCAGAAGATATTCGGATAAGACGACGTTGTGATCTGCATACTTCCAAAGCCGCGTCAACATATTCGCCCTGTTTACGGCCACATCAGCCTCCACTCGAAATCGTTCTTGAGCATAACGATCGACAACCCCTTCGCCCAGATTCAAATCAGTGCCGGCCGTGCAGTTCTCTCCAAGCAAATGTTGCGATTCTACTATTCTCAAGAACCGCGTGACGATATCAACGTGTCCGCGGACGATCTCGACTTTCTCGTCCTGATCATCTTGATCGTCATCATTGGTATCATTGGGCATTGCCTCAAACCCATCGTCGTCCTTGTGGTTGAGCGCTTTATCACCCATGTACAGGACACCTCTATCTATATGCTGCCAGCTACTATTGGTGGTGCTACTGAAATTCGCGTCGACTGTGACCCGTCTAACGTGGCTGATCTTTATCTTCTCATCATCTTTGACCATTTGCGAATAATTCAGAAAAGATGCCTCCATCTCCTCATCAGCGAACCTATTGGCCCGCAGGAGTCGTGATCTTCCATGTCTTATGTTCTGCTGGTCCCAACCGGGCTCGATGAAAGCACAGCAGATGGTAAAGAACAAAGCGACTACAATTGCAGCCTTCATCATTTATCTGTCGCAGAGAAGCATCGTAAGTTAACGTGCAAAAGTTAGTTTGATAAAGTTTTGCGAAAGTTTACGTACGCGGCTTTTTGAGCGGCTACTGAACAACCTTCCGCACTCGGGATGTTGTTCAGAACTGAGCTGCGAGCTGCGAGGGTGGCTCCGGGATGCAGGATGCATGAGCGCGCGCCACCTGCCTTCAAGACGTCGCGACGGCCACGTCGGGGGGTTGCTTTTACACCGGCGCAAGCCGTGTTATACCTACCTTGACCAACACCACCTCTTCACCATTCCATCTGCTTCTGATACCTTAAAGAAGATCTTACCTGTTGCTACAACCTCAGCCTTGTCTATTTTTTTTGTTAATAGATCACTTCAAAACAAATTATTTCATTAACTACCCATGTAATAATACTAGAACCACAAACTTAACTCACACAATTAACACCTATTTTTCCTTGCTAAAAATACAGCACTTAATTGAACTAAATCATAATCAAAAGTTAGAAACTACAATTAGTCCGTTAATTGTTATTTCGATAACTTTCCATCCATCGATCAATCTTTATGAACAACTTACCTGTTGCTCTAACATCAACCTCATATTTTTAAATGAAAACAACTTCAACATAAATTTTATTACTTATATATACTTATTAATATTTTACCTTTCACCTATTACATGATATAAATTAAATCTTATAATCAATACCATTTTCGTGCTATCGTCAGTCGCTGTAGAAATTGGAAAACAAGTGAAAAGGATTTTCTTAAAAATCGCTGTTTCGTTGATATCCGACGAGTTTTCGCGTTTTTCTTAATTACACGAAAATTACGTAACTTTTTTTGCATTTCATGATTGCATAAGATGGGCGCCATCCTTACGCACCTTTTTGTAAAAAAAAAGCAATAAGTTTCGATCGATACAAACAGTATAATTTGAGATGAATAACGATGCGTCGATCGAACTGTTGCGGTATATTTTCTAAATTGAACAAATTAATAATTTTTAACGAAAGAAATATGATCTTTTTAATTAGGTGTAATTGAGAAATATAAAAAGAAGTAGAAAAAATAAGCTGTTCGTTGCAAAATTGTAGATGTTATTTAATGAAGAAAGAAATTAGTTCTTAAACTAATATATTTGATTATTATATCTGATTGTTTGTATTCATATTTGTACAGCATATATTATCAATTACATAGCTCTTGATTATAACCCAACGGGAATGGAGCTGTGATGTGTGTGTGTTATTTATGTAACATATTATTAACATATTAAATAAACATAATGATAATGTATATTATTTGTTATAATTTTATCCGGTTTTTTTGCAGTTTTGTAATTATTTATATAAAGGTACCATTCTCATAATATATTTACTACAATGATTGATTATAGAGATCGGCCGACCGACATTTAAAGAGCATCATCATTCATATTGCATCAATTATAAAATTTGAGTATATCGATTCGTCAGGTGCTAAATAATATTGTGGTGCTATTTTTCATAAGGTTGGGTGATAGGTTAAGTATTTGGATTAAGAATTAAATTAAAATATTTGATTTTGATAACAATCAATGCCGGCAGTTAGCTCGTTGGAAAGGTTGTAGTTTCCTCTTTAATCTGCTTATTCGATTATTTAATTATCGCGAGTGGTAATCGATTAATTTAAAAAAAACGTGAAGGTATTGCAGCAAATTGAAAAAATAGTTATACAAATGGTTATATTCTGATATATTAGAAAATTTTAATTTAAAGTTTTAAAGCATAATTCTTTCGCTTTCATTTGCTATAAAATACGTTAGTTTTGGTCAATTAATATATTCATCATATATTTGAAACTTTTAATTTACTGTTTTAAAGAATAATTATTTCGCTTTCGTTTGCTATAAAATACGTTAGTTTTGGTCAATTAATAAGAAAGTTATTAAGATTTAACGAGTTGGCGGTTTTCGCGAATCAAAACGCCCCCTGAAAAAATGATTATCGAAAATGCCAGTAAATTGGGATTTGTACCAGGAGACTAAGAGTGCGTGGAGGAATCTGAGCTCCTAGCATAGGTTGTTCCTGATTGGTTGAAATTAGAATTTTTGAATTTTACGTATGTGTGAGTGAGCAAACTGTTATTGTTACAGCTGTCATACTGACAGTTACTGTCGCAAGTAAAATTGAAAGGTATTTATTGGATTTCCTCTTTATTCTACATTGTTCTGAATGCAAACTTAATGAGGAACATGCTCCATTGCCTTCTTCTTCTATTTCCTGGTATGGAAAACCTTTCTCTGAACATCACATTTCACATCGGGCAAGTACTAATGGAACATGTCAGCAACCATTGATCACTAAAGTTCTTCGTCTTCAGAAAACATACAACAGAAACTGGAGCTAAGTAGGGACAATTCTTCAAATCTTTTACTTAGAACAGTGTCTTCATATAAGAATGCATTAATTGTTAATACTCATGAAGTAAGTAGTCAACAATCATCGATACAATTATTATTATTTTAGGTGGAGCTGATAGCAACATGCCTCTGATGTATAGTTGATGACCTCAAGTTCCCCAGAAAGTGAAAAGCATTCTTTACTAGCAGTTTTCATTTGCAAATAGTGGAAATCTTAACTGCTGAATGTAACCATAAATATTACTTCATTAAGGAGATGGATAACAACTATGAACCCTATAGCAACCTTGAATCTATTGTTGCTTTATACATGATTCTTAGAGACTGAAAAACTTGCAAGATGCATTGAATATACTGGAAAAGCAAAAATGTTTATATTCATCAAATTCCCAGAAAAAGGCTAAAAGTATTTTATATAACTATCAACCTATATTTGCATTTATTTTAATCTCTGTATATTTAAGATCAACATTAATGTAACAGGGAAGAGCTATATAATAGCAATTATCCTACACATTTTAATCTCTGTATATTTAAGATCAACATTAATGTCCAAAATTCTTCTGAGAGTTGGTGTATACGAAAATACAAGTCATTTTCGAAAGTGTTCTCCAAACTATCTAATTCGAGTTAAATGCGATGATTGGTTTTCCGCATCTCTGATCGCACCGAAATCATGAAATCGCTGAAAATTGATGTTAGTTTTGCGAAAAATAAAGAGAGTTCTAATTGGAAGAATTTAGTTTATAAAAGCAGTGTTATGTAGTATTATGACATAGATTTCATGAAAAAAAAACTAATTATTGGTTTTCTGTATTGTAAATTGTAAAATTCTTGAAAATTGATGTTAGTTTTGCGAACAATAAAGAGTGTACTAATTGGAAGAATGAAATTTATAAACAGTATTATTATTAATCTTTTTTTTCTGATCGTACTGAAGTTATGAAATTCCTGAAAATTGATATCAGTTTTGTGAACAATTAAAAAGCTGTGTTATAAAGTATCATGCGTATCTTAGATTTCATAGAAAAAAAACTACTAATTATTAATTTTCTAATTCTCTGATTGTACTGAAACTTGAATGAATTGAACAAGATTTCTAATTGGAAGAGTGAAGTTTTTATGTCAAAGATTTCATACAAAAAAACGATTTAAAATTTATATAAGACTAAAGTAATTTATTATTATGAAAACATTTTGCATATAAACTTTATGTTTCTTATTGACGAAAAGAATAAAATTTATTTTACTTACTGAGAAAGAATTGTTAATTTTACTAGTTCACGTTTTAACGAATATGAATTTTTCAATATTTATTGTCCCGGCGCGTCCACAATAATTCGAACGATCTGTGATTCAATTAATTGTAGTTTCCAGCATATTGGATAATTCCAGAGCCAATTCTGATGCCGTAATTCCCCTATAGAATTTCCAATTAAACGTGTAAAATAATCCATGGATCCATCGCACTTTCGCAAATGAATATAAATCACAATTTAAATGAACAAAAAAAACTAAATTAAAAGATAAGATGTCTAACGTCATACCAATAAAGCTAACTTTGAATTGAACGTATAAATAAAGTTCTTTATTATTGCAAAAAAAAAATTATAAACTCATTCATTATTTGTGCAAAAGTAAAACAAATTATTTCAATAATAGTAACTAATTAATGAAAATCCACTTAATTAA